AGGTTATTGGCCAAGATCCCGCGATACATGGCCCCATCCATCCTCCCCTCAATATGGTGCAGTCGTCCTGTCCCCTTTGCAGAAAAGCATCCCCAAAGAATGATGTTTCCACCTCCATGCTTCACAGTTGGGATGGTGTTCTTGGGGTTGTACTCATCCTTCTTCTTCCTCCAAACACGGCGAGTGGAGTTTAGACCAAAAAGCTCTATTTTTGTCTCATCAGACCACATGACCTTCTCCCATTCCTCCTCTGGATCATCCAGATGGTCATTGGCAAACTTCAGACGGGCCTGGACATGCGCTGGCTTGAGCAGGGGGACCTTGCGTGCGCTGCAGGATTTTAATCCATGACGGCGTAGTGTGTTACTAATGGTTTTCTTTGAGACTGTGGTCCCAGCTCTCTTCAGGTCATTAACCAGGTCCTGCTGTGTAGTTCTGGGCTGATCCCTCACCTTCCTCATGATCATTGATGCCCCACGAGGTGAGATCTTGCATGGAGCTCCAGACCGAGGGTGATTGACCGTCATCTTGAACTTCTTCCATTTTCTAATAATTGCGCCAACAGTTGTTGCCTTCTCACCAAGCTGCTTGCCTATTGTCCTGTAGCCCATCCCAGCCTTGTGCAGGTCTACAATTTTATCCCTGATGTCCTTACACAGCTCTCTGGTCTTGGCCATTGTGGAGAGGTTGGAGTCTGTTTGATTGAGTGTGTGGACAGGTGTCTTTTATACAGGTAACGAGTTCAAACAGGTGCAGTTAATACAGGTAATGAGTGGAGAACAGGAGGGCTTCTTAAAGAAAAACTAACAGGTCTGTGAGAGCCGGAATTCTTACTGGTTGGTAGGTGATCAAATACTTATGTCATGCAATAAAATGCAAATTAATTACTTAAAAATCATACAATGTGATTTTCTGGATTTTTGTTTTAGATTCCGTCTCTCACAGTTGAAGTGTACCTATGATAAAAATTACAGACCTCTACATGCTTTGTAAGTAGGAAAACCTGCAAAATCGGCAGTGTATCAAATACTTGTTCTCCCCACTGTATAGTGCCTTGCAAAAGTATTCATCCCCCTTGGCGTTTTTCCTATTTTGTTGCATTACAACCTGTAATTTACATTGGTTTTTATTTGGATTTCATGTAATGGACATACACAAAATAGTCCAAATTGGTGAAGTGAAATGAAAAAAATCACTAACGGAAAAGTGGTGCGTGCATATGTATTCACCCCCTTTGCTATGAAGCCCCTAAATAAGATCTGGTGCAACCAATTACCTTCAGAAGTTACATAATTAGTTAAATAAAGTCCACCTGTGTGCAATCTAAGTATCACATGATCTGTCACATGATCTCAGTATATATACACCTGTTCTGAAAGGACCCAGAGTCTGCAACAGCATTAAGCAAGGGGCACCACCAAGCAAGCGGCACCATGAAGACCAAGGAGCTCTCCAAACAGGTCAGGGACAAAGTTGTGGAGAAGTACAGATCAGGGTTGGGTTATAAAAAAACGTTGAACATCCCACGGAGCACCATTAAATCCATTATTAAAAAGTGAAAAGAATATGGCACCACAACAAACCTGCCAAGAGAGGGCCGCCCACCAAAACTCACAGACCAGGCAAGGAGGGCATTAATCAGAGAGGCAATAAAGACACCAAAGATAACCCTGAAGGAGCTGCAAAGCTCCACAGTGAAGATTGGAGTATCTGTCCATAGGACCACTTGAAGCCGTACACTCCACAGAGCTGGGTTTTACGGAAGAGAGGCCAGAAAAAAGCCATTGCTTAAAGAAAAACATAAGCAAACAGCCATGTTGGAGACTCCCCAAACATATGGAAGAAGGTACCCTGGTCAGATGAGACTAAAATTGAGCTTTTTGGCCATCAAGGAAAACGCTATGTCTGGCGCAAACCCAACACCTCTCATCACCCTGAGAACACCATCCCCACAGTGAAGCATGATGGTGGCAGCATCATACTGTGGGGATTGTCACACCCTGGCTCTGGGACTCTATATGTTGAGCCAGGGTGTGTATATTCTATGTGTTGTGTTTCTATGTCGGGATTCTAGTTTTGTATTTCTGTGTTGGCCAGAGTGGTTCCCAATCAGAGGCAACGAGTGTCAGCTGTTGCTGGTTGTCTCTGATTGGGAGCCATATTTATAGAGGCTGTTTTCCCACAATAGTTGTGGGATCTTGTTTCCGTTTGGTTTGTTTCCGTGTTGGTTGTGTAAACCGTAGGACTGCACGTTTCGTTTGTTGTTTTGTTGTTTATATTATCACTAAGATAATAAAGTTTAAGTATGTTTGCAACTAACGCTGCGCATTGGTCTACTCCGTCTAGCGATTGTGACAGAAGATCCCACCATACCAGGACCAAGCAGCGTGTCCAGGAGCAGGCGGCCTGGACATGGGAGGAAGCGCCGGGAAAGGAGCTGGAAAGGTTGGCGATGGCCCAGGTGGGCAAATCGTGGTCCTGGGAGGACATGCTCGGGGGCAAGGGGCCATGGGCTAAGATTAAGGCCCTGGCGAGAGAGGAGCAACGGCGTCAACAGTGTCGTCGTCGGACGGACGAGAGGCAACCCCAGAAATTTTTTAGGGGGGGGCACACGGCATGGGCGACTGGGCAGCAGGAGGCTGCCACAGGGCGAAATGGGAGACGAGGAGAGAAGGCCACCGGGTTACGGGAGCCATTGGTGAGAGGAGGGAAGGAAGTTGTAGAGGCACGGCGAGAGGTACTGAGGTGTATTGCCAGTCCGGTCCGGCCCGTTCCTGATCCCCGTTTAAGGCCAGTGGTGTGTGTTCCCAGTACGGTCCGGCCTGTTCCTGTTCCTCGCACCAAGCCTACGGTGTGCGTCGCCAGCCCGGCCCGGCCTGTTCCTGCCACTCGCACCAAGCCTACGGTGTGCGTCGCCAGCCCGGCCCGGCCTGTTCCTGCCCCTCGCACCAAGCCTACGGTGCGAGTCGTCAGCCCGGCCCGGCCGGTTCCTGCTCCTCGCACCAAGCCTACGGTGTGCGTCGCCAGCCCGGCCCGGCCTGTTCCTGCTCCACGCACCAAGCCTACGGTGCGCGTCGCCAGCCCGGCCCGGCCCGTTGCTGCTCCACGCACCAAGCCAGGGGTGCGCATCGTCAGCCCGGTCCGGCCCGTTCCTGCTCCACGCACCAAGCCAGGGGTGCGCATCGTCAGCCCGGTACGGCCCGTTCCGGCTCCACGCACCAAGCCAGGGATGCGCATCGTCAGCCCGGTCCGGCCCGTAGCTGCTCCACGCACCAAGCCAGGGGTGCGCATCGTCAGCCCGGTCCGGCCCGTTCCTGCTCCACGCACCAAGCCAAGGGTGCGAGTCGTCAGCCCGGTCCGGCCCGTTCCTGCTCCACGCACCAAGCCAGGGGTGCGCATCGTCAGCCCGGTCCGGCCCGTTGCTGCTCCACGCACCAAGCCAGGGGTACGCATCGTCAGCCCGGTCCGGCCCGTTTCTGCTCCACGCACCAAGCCAGGGGTGCGCGTCGTCAGTCCGGCACAACCCGTGCTTGGGTCACCGGTGCCTGGTCAGGTACCGGTCAGCTGCTCCACACCGGAGCTTAAGCAATCCGCTCCTATGATGTCCAGTCCAGCTCCAGCCAGCGGGGCCAGACCGGACCAGGGGCGCTACGGGGGGATTATTGGAGGGTGGTGGGCGAGCCCGGAGCCGGAACCGCCTCCGAGGAGGAATGCCCACCCAGCCCTATGTTGAGGTGCGGTCGCAGTCCGCGCCTTTAGGGGGGGGTACTGTCACACCCTGGCTCTGGGACTCTATATGTTGAGCCAGGGTGTGTATATTCTATGTGTTGTGTTTCTATGTCGGGATTCTAGTTTTGTATTTCTGTGTTGGCCAGAGTGGTTCCCAATCAGAGGCAACGAGTGTCAGCTGTTGCTGGTTGTCTCTGATTGGGAGCCATATTTATAGAGGCTGTTTTCCCACAATAGTTGTGGGATCTTGTTTCCGTTTGGTTTGTTTCCGTGTTGGTTGTGTAAACCGTAGGACTGCACGTTTCGTTTGTTGTTTTGTTGTTTATATTATCACTAAGATAATAAAGTTTAAGTATGTTTGCAACTAACGCTGCACATTGGTCTACTCCGTCTAGCGATCGTGACAGGGATGTTTTTAATCGGCAGGGACTGGGAAACTGGTCAGAATTGAAGGAATGATGGATGGCGCTAAATACAGGGAAATTCTTGAGGGAAACCTGTTTCAGTCTTCCAGAGAATTGAGACTGGGACAGAGGTTCACCTTCCACCAGGACAATGACCCTAAGCATACTGCTAAAGCAACACTTGAGTGGTTTAAGGGGAAACATTTAAATATCTTGGAATGGTCTAGTCAAAGCCCAGACCTCAATCCAATTGAGAATCTGTTTTATGACTTAAAGATTGCTGTACACCAGTGAATACCATCCAACTTGAAGGAGCTGGGGCAGTTTTGTCTTGAAGAATGGGAAAAAATCCCAGGGGCTAGATGTGCCACGGTAGGCAGGGGCGCTCCAGCACAGTTCATGGCGGTAATGTACTGTAACGTTGGATGCAAACCACTGATAAACCCCACAGAAGAAGAAGAGGCAGGAGCAACAACAGTAGCTAGCTATAGCTAGTACACACCGGTAGTGTCCTTCGACCCCGCCTGTCGGGCACTGTTTTCCCGCAGTTCTGTTAACGACGGCAAGGACAGGTGTTCGGCAGCCGGGAGCGAAGGTAATTGTGTGCTAGTTTAGCCAGCTAGTCCTAAGGAGAACTCCGGTACACAGGAGGCGGGGGCAACACCTTGTGCTAGCTAGCGGTGTCTCTAACTAGCAAGCTAGCTAGTTAGCAGACAGTTTCACTCCTGCCCGCTGTGCTAGTGGGAGGCGGGAGTGACCGGTAGACAGCATCCTTGGCCCCCGCCTGTCGGGCATGTTTTTTTCGGTACACAGCAGGCGGGAGGCAGGGGCGACACGTGTGCTAGCTAACTAGCAAGCTAGCAGACGATGTCGCACACGGTGTCGCCCCAGCCTCCTTCCTGCTGTGTACCGAAGTTCCGCAGTTCTATTAACGGTGAGTGCAGGTGTTCGGCAGGCAGGAGTGAAGGACACGGTCTACTCAAATAATACTTTAATTGACCCACATTTAAAAGTGTCACACAAGCATAAAGATGTCATGCTAGAGGGAATGCCCACATGCAGGAACGCCCTGAATTGCGGGCTGCAGTTGGACACTTTTGAGACCATTCACAGTTGAGCTCGCACAGTTTAGCTCAACGCTGATTGGCTATTATTATATTTTTAAATGATCACGGGAGGCTAAACGCTCGCTGGCTTCATTAAATGCTACTGGCGGCAACAATATCATACTCTTTTTCACCAGACAGCATCAGATAGATGGGCTACACATACAGTGAGGGAAAACATATTTGATCCCCTTCTGATTTTGTACGTTTGCCCACTGACAAATAAATGATCAGTCTATAATTTTAATGGTAGGTTTATTTGAACAGTGAGAGACAGAATAACAACAACAAAATCCAGAAAAACACATGTCAAAAATGTTATAAATTTATTTGGATTTTAATGAGGGAAATAGGTATTTGACCCCCTCTCAATCAGAAAGATTTCTAGCTCCCAGGTGTCTTTTATATAAGGGAGTGCTCCTAATCTCAGTTTGTTACCTGTATAAAAGACACCTGTCCACAGAAGCAATCAATCAATCAGATTCCAAACTCTCCACCATGGCCAAGACCAAAGAGCTCTCCAAGGATGTCAGGGACAGGATTGTAGACCTACACAAGGCTGGAATGGGCTACAAGACCATCGCCAAGCAGCTTGGTGAGAAGGTGACAACAGTTGGTGCGATTATTCGCAAATGGAAGAAACACAAAATAACTGTCAATCTCCCTCGGCCTGGGGCTCCATTCAAGATCTCACCTCGTGGAGTTGCAATGATCATGAGAACGGTGAGGAATCAGCCCAGAACTACACGGGAGGATCTTGTCAATGATCTCAAGGCAGCTGGGACCATAGTCACCAAGAAAACAATTGGTAACACACTACGCCGTGAAGGACTGAAATCCTGCAGCGCCCGCAAGGTCCCCCTGCTCAAGAAAGCACATATACAAGCCGGTCTGGAGTTTGCCAATGAACATCTGAATGATTCAGATGAGAACTGGGTGAAATTGTTGTGGTCAGATGAGACCAAAATGGAGCTCTATGGCATCAACTCAACTCGCCGTGTTTGGAGGAGGAGGAATGCTGCCTATGACCCCAAGAACACCATCCCCACCATCAAACATGGAGGTGGAAACATTATGCTTTGGGGGTGTTTTTCTGCTAAGGGGACAGGACAACTTCACCGCATCAAAGGGACGATGGACGGGGCCATGTACCGTCAAATCTTGGGTGAGAACCTCCTTCCCTCAGCCAGGGCATTGAAAATGGGTCGTGGATGGGTATTCCAGCATGACAATGACCCAAAACACACGGCCAAGGCAACAAAGGAGTGGCTCAAGAAGAAGCACATTACGGTCCTGGAGTGGCCTAGGCAGTCTCCAGACCTTAATCCCATAGAAAATCTGTGGAGGGAGCTGAAGGTTCGAGTTGCCAAACGTCAGCCTCGAAACCTTAATGACTTGGAGAAGATCTGCAAAGAGTGGGACAAAACCCCTCCTGAGATGTGTGCAAACCTGGTGGCCAACTACAAGAAACGTCTGACCTCTGTGCTTGCCACCAAGTACTAAGTCATGTTTTGCAGAGGGGTCAAATACTTATTTCCCTCATTAAAATGCAAATCAATTTATAACATTTTTGACATGCGTTTTTCTGGATTTTTTTGTTGTTATTCTGTCTCTCACTGTTCAAATAAACCTACCATTAAAATTATAGACTGATCATGTCTTTGTCAGTGGGCAAATGTACAAAATCAGCAGGGGATCAAATACTTTTTCCCTCACTGTTTCGCTCAATCAGATGCTTTCTGAGATAAATTCAGCCTCTTGCAAATTGAAGGAATATTATGAAACACAGAGAGGAAAGATATATCATTTTTATTTTTTAAAAATGATTGCTTCATTTTTGGGGAAGACTGGCTTCCTTTGGCATCCATGAATACATGCCACTGGATCTACTTTAACCAAATCTTTGCAAACATTACTTTTCTGGCCCTCCTTCATTATTTTCAACTCTACATTTAGCATCTTTTCTATTATTGAATTAAACTCCAACATTGTTCTTTTTCCCGCCGTGGATTGATGTTAACTTTTTCTGCCTGTCCCCAAAAGCATTTGGCAATTGGCGTGTAGGCTATTTGGCGCGCATACAGTTAGGCCCTAAAGTTTAGGTTTACGCACAAATGCCAGATAGCCTAAAATAATGAAAGAAACCCTAAATGTAGCCAATAGATATAATTTGCACAATAATTATACAGTCTCTGTCTGTGGATCCTTTCCCATTTAATGTATTTTTCATTTCAGCCAGGCCCACTTTTCAAAGAAACACCATTTATTTCAATCTGTAGTTGAGTAAAATAAGTAGTTTTGTTTAGATCACAAGAAAACCCTAACAAATCAGCTAAAAATCTGAATGTTCAACCATAAAGTGGGGACAGTTAGTTTCCCTGGCTGTTATATGGCTGCTAATTAGAAATATTATAACAGTAAATTAATAGATGACATTCACTGCTATAAACCTGTCTCCAATATAATCGCATAGCTTACACAGACCACCGCGGACCTTTTGACAAATACATATCCGTGTGAAAAGGCGTCCCATGGTCTGTTTTGTCAACGACCTCAATGTATTCCAAACACTGGTGGTATCCAGATGATCCCGATAATTTAGGTAGTAAATGATGCCCTCCTCTGATATGTGCTATTGCGAACTGTCTGGGACTCTTTGTTGTTTACTACTCAAATATATTTTACTAATTAAGTCAAAGACGAAATTAACTGCAATACACTGAGGTCAAATATATTAGCATAACTAAGCTACACAGAACCCCGGCAGACCCATAGTAAAATGAGAGGCTATTCTCCATGTAAAACGTGTCCCAGTCATTGAGGTACACTAAGGTCCCAGTGCAACAACATTCCTAGCACTGCCCATTGGGTCGTGGCTTACGGAGCGCTCTCTGAAATACGCGCTCGTATCATCATATTTCAACCGATCGAGTTACGGTATCTCATCACATCAGCTCTCTCTCTCTCGAACCATCCATTCGAGCCCGAACCTGGGGACGAGGAGTAGAAAATTGATGCGTCTGAGTGGACCAGCCATGATGGGCATAGACATTATATTTATTGGACTATCATACCTATATAGTTAGATAATGTATTTGATAGGTCTAAATACAAGGAGAAAATTGTTATCACTTAAAATCTTGTTAATAATTTTCATCATGTTCCTGCACAACCATATAGTCACATTTTTTATAGTATTTTTCTCTAAAAACAAGGCAATATTTCTACATTTTTGTCATTTAGCAGACGCTCTTATCCAGAGCACTTACAGTTAGTGAGTGCATACATTTTTCATACTGGCCCCCCGTGGGAAACGAACCCACAACCCTTGCATTGCAAGCGCCATGCTCTACCAACTGAGCTACAGGAGGGCTAGCAACCAAATAAAATGTATAATTCTTTATGAATAAGTATAGCTTCTTAGGCTCTAGACAAATGTTCATGCTTTGATATCATGAAATGATCAATGATGGAATAATTATTTGCAATACATTGATATATGTCAGGGATGTAGCTCAGTTGGTAGAGCATGGCATTTGCAACGCCAGGGTTGTGGGTTCGATTCCAGTATGAAAAATAAAATAAAAATGTATGCACTCACTAACTGTAAGTCGCTCTGGATAAGAGCGTCTGCTAAATGACTAAAATGTAAAATGTAAATGTAATATATCCTACACACTAGAGGGCACTGCAGCCTTGGCTGAACCTGGAGCCAAATGGCCGTTCCACAAATGTATCCAGAGATATTAGAGAAAGGAGGAGATAAGAATCCCATTGGTCAAAGAATGGAGGAACGTAGAACGCCCCACCCAACAGACTGTCCACCAATCGGATTCACGTTGTCATGCTACGCCATTGCTAAGCTAATCGTCATGCAATTCCTACTCAAATTCAGGGGGTGTGTTCGTAAATTCACTCTGGAGTGCCAAAGTGCGCAAATTCAGAGCATTGTCAGATTGTCCGTTTGTAAATCAGAGCATTTCACTCTCGGAACGCACCCCTTGGGGGAATTAGAAAACATTTTCGACTTGCTTATTCGTTGAACGCGGCACGAGTATAACTACAACCAGTTCCGAGTTATATATTTTCCTAGTTCCGACTAGCATGTGAACGCGGCATAAATCGAGAAACCTGCCTATTTTCCTCGAAAGTACGTAATGTCACGATTCCAAAGCTACACGATATTACAGAGAACAAGTTAATTATCTGACATCTCGGAAAATATTTGTAATGTTATACTTCTTGTTCACGAAATTCATGCTAATGTTGTGTTTTTGAGCTAGCGCCAAATTGACTCCCATTCACTCATTGAAGGAGAGCTCTCCTTGTAGCAAAATAACCCATAAGGCACCGCGCGGCCCATTGACGACGCATAGGCAACGTACACAATCGGCAATAATACGATTCCAATGGAGTTTTCCATCTCCTCAAAACTACCTCTGGTTTATCCAGATGTTTGGTTCCGGGCGCGCCTTCTATCGAAATCCGGTTTCCAGCGGTTCGGAATAAGGACGGGGGGAGGAGGAGAAGGAGGGGTGGGGGGGGGTTGGGTTCTACAAGAAAGCCCCCAAACCCGACCTACAACAGGCTTTTCAAGGGATTTATTAAGTGGTCTTCACTCCGCTTGCATATGCCACGGTCCCCAGCGTGGGTGCACCACACCGCGCTCAACGGTGGCGCGATTCTGACTGAGTTAGCATGCTAGCTAGCTAGCAAAATTGATTTCTACTCCACCCCCTCTCCAAATGGCAGTAGCTACTAGTCAATACCCCGTAGCTAGGGGTGAGCTGTAAAACCCAACTTCTCTATTGGACTTTCCCGTTCAATTCCTCCCCATCATCTCCATCCACCCCGCAGGAAGATTGTTGCCTTGGGAGGGCCATACCAAGAAGAGTGTATTCTGGTAGGATCCCTGCTTCGGATTCGGGATTTAAGGCCCACAAGGGGGTTGGGGGTTTAAACCGCAATAATTTGATCCCTAAACCCCCCATGCCTGGCATCTCGGCCAGTGTTTTGGTCATTTTTAATAAAATGTTTAGCCTTTTATTTTATGTAAATAGTGCCAGTTCCTGATTTTGCCTTTCTACCTCAACACTCCATTTTCATCATCTTCCCAGCCGTCTTAACACTAGCTGTATCTGACGGCCCCTAGCCTCCCCTTATCCATCATCAACCTCCGTGCGCAGCGCACTGTGGTAATCTCGGGGGAAATCGCGGGGGAAAATATCAGATACCAGGAACCCCCTTACTCGGACAGCGCGAGACCCCAGGCTCCGACACGAGGACGGTGATCTGTGTTCCCATTCCAAGCAGCAAACGAGCTCTGTGTCAATCGAGTCCTCAACACAGACCGCGCTCCGGTGCTCGCCATGCCCGGCCCGGCGGCCGGCAGTAAATCTCGGGTGTACGCGGATGTCAACACTTTGAAGAGCAGGGAATATTGGGACTACGAAACCCACGTGCCTAGCTGGAGGTAACATGTTGTAATCTTTTGCAGGGCTGGAATTTCTAAACATCATAATGCTTTATTTAGTATTTTATTGCCAAATACTTTATCAAATGAATGATCTCCATATCTGTTTTCTATTTTAGTTTTAGTTTGATGTCCTTCATAGTTTATTGCTGCAGCCTATCCATATTTGCTCTCCACTCAACACGATGTACAGGCAGCTACCACAACAGAATCTTTGACTACTACCATGGATTATCAGTATGGTCGAATGAGTGGCCATATATTGTCCCATTGCATTGGTTCTGTGTGGGCGGGTGAAATATTAGACTAGATAGCTAGCTATCATAATTAATCCATAATACAAACGTCTTTTGAAGACTATATTTGGAAAGTAATGTATTTTGGAGATTTAGCTTGGTAGACAAGGTTTTGTTGGGAACGTTCATGGTTTGAGTAAGTGAGTCTGCGCGTAGCACATTCAGATTGGCGTGTACTATCGACCGGGATGGGAAAATCATCAATCTGAGATCGAGCAGGCCTAGCTGGCAGCTGACGCCGAGGCAGCACCGAATGATGCTTGTAAATTGTACAACAGTAGCTACTTAGTTTCCCACATCATAAACTTTACTTAGCCAGATCACATTATCATTCCTTTAAGTGGCATATATATATTTTTCTTTCAGATCTAGCTAATTTGGTTACATTTACACAAGCTGTTAATGAGACACAACCTTTTAATTAATTAAATGTCTGTACAGTTGCAGCACTTTATTGAAGATTCACTAGACCTTTAATTGAATCTGTTAAAATTAGACCACTAGTTTAATATATCGAGTTCCATGCACAAAACAGGGTTGTACCAGCACCACTGCTCTTATTCATTAGTATAATCAAGGGCCCTCAAAAAGATGGACACTTGGAATGTCCCCTCTCTGTGGTTGAAATGTCACTCTCGCTTTCACTGACTGGGAAAATAATTATTGTTTAAAAAAGTTTCAACCTCTTTCCATCTAGGCCTGTTATATATATTGAGTGTGGTGATGGGAAGGAAAGATGTGGAATAAAATGTTGTACTAATCTGTTTTCTCTTTTAAAACGATGTTGTACTAATATAGTTTTTACTATCTTCCCTCTAGTATCCAGGAAGACTACCAGTTGGTGCGGAAGCTTGGCAGAGGGAAGTACAGTGAGGTCTTTGAGGCCATCAACATCAACAACAATGAGAAGGTGGTGGTCAAGATCCTCAAGGTAAGTTGCCCAAGGCCTGCTTTGTTCTTCTGTATGCTCCAGCAGCGATGAAAGAGTGGTCTGTTTTCTTTAAACATATACAGTGGGTTCCATAATTATTGGCACCCTTGATAAAGATGAACAAAAAATACTGTATAAAATAAATAACACAAATATTGAGCTATATTGAATGCTCAAAAAATTAGGAAATTATATTATTTTATACTAATACAATTGCTCAGAGATATAGATTTAGTTTAACAAGTAATAAACAAACATCTAAAAAAGATAGGGGTCAAAATTATTGGCAATCTCATAAAACATTTTAGAAAAAGGCTATGTCGTTATCTTCACAAGAAGAGAGTGCTACGGTATTGAAAACAGGTGACAATACATTTGAGCCTTATCTTTTTAGGATTTTTTTTATTACTTGTTAAAATGTCTTTCTCTGTATTAGTATAAAATAATATAATTTCCCCTTTTTTTTTGCGTACAATATAGCTTCCCTCTAGTAACCAGGAAGAAAGACTTCCACTTTGTGCGGAAGCTTGGCAGAGGGAAGTACAGTGCGGTGCAAAAAAAACGGAATACAGTTGCTCAGAAAAATACATTTTGTTTAACAAGTAATACAGAAAAATTATTTCCACCCCTGTTTTCAATACTCTCCTTTTGCGAGGATAATGACCCTGTGCCTTTTTCTAAAATGTTTTATGAGATTACCCTTTTTTAGATGTTTTTTTTATTACTTGTTAAACAAAATCTATTTATCTGAGAAATGGTATTAGTATAAAGTAATATAATTTCCCATTTTTTTTGAGCATACAATATAGCTCAGTATTTGTGTTTATTTATTTTATAGTCTTTTTTGCTCATCTTTATCAAGGGTGCCAATAATTATGGACCCCACTGTACCACATCACATTGTCCAAGTAATAATCAGCCAGGAAAACATAGAGGGAGATATGGTGGACATGGGAGGAAAAGTAGAGGGAGGTAAAGTGGACATCTTGCTGATGCTGTCACCATTACCACTGTTGTTAATGAGGTCACATCCTGCAAGTCAAACATTTAGGCTACATCCTGGTCTGATTGGATGTCTCTGTTATTATAACCCTAATTAGCCTGTCAAGAAGAAGAAAATCAAGCGTGAAATCAAGATCCTGGAGAATTTGCGAGGTGGAACCAACATCATCCGATTGGTGGACACAGTGAAAGACCCTGTGGTATGTCTTACAGCTCTGCTTTCTTCTAGCTTTGGGTTAGCTTTGGGCTTAGTCACCTGAGTACCTGGCCACTTCAAAGATCAGATTTGTTTACATTGTAAATCAATTTGATCAATGTTTCTATACATACAGTGCATTCGGAAAGTATTTCCGACCCCTTGACTTTTTCCACATTGTTATGTTACAACCTTATTCTAAAATTTATTAAATTGTTTTTTCCCTTATCTATCTACACACAATACCCCATAATGACAAAGCAAAACAGGTTTCTAGACATTTTTATACATTTATAAAAAACAACAACTGAAATATCACATTTACAGAAGTATTCAGACCATTTACTCAGTACTTTGTTGAAGCACCTTTGGCAGCGATTACAGCCTCAGGTCTTCTTGGGTATGACGCTACAAGCTTGGCACACCAGTATTTGGGGAGTTTCTCTTATTCCTCTCTGAAGATCCTCTCAAGCTCTGTCAGGTTGGATGGGGAGCGTTGCTGCACAGCTATTTTCAGGTCTCTCAAGAGATATTAGATCGGGTTCAAGTCCGGGCTCTGTCTGTGCTACTCAAGGACATTCAGAGACTTGTCCCGAAGCTACTCCTACGTTGTCTTGGCTGTGTACTTAGGGTCGTTGTCCTGTTGGAAGGTGAACCTTCGCCCCAGTCTGAGGTCCTGAGTACTCTGGAGCAGGTTTTCATCAAGGATCTCTCTGTACTTTGCTCCGTTCATCTTTCCCTCAATCCTGACTAATCTCCCAGTCCCTGCCGCTGAAAAACATCCCCACAGCATGATGCTGCCACCACCATGCTTCACTGTAGGGACGGTGCCAGGTTTACTCCAGACGTGACATTTGGCATTCAGGCCAAAGAGTTAAATCTTGGTTTCATCAGACCAGAGAATCTTGTTTCTCATGGTCTGAGAGTCCTTTAGGTACCTTTTGGCAAACTCCAAGCGGGCTGTCATGTGCCTTTTACTGAGGAGTGGCTTCCGTCTGGCCACTCTACCATAAAGGCCTGATTGATGGAGTGCTGCAGAGATGGTTGTCCTTCTGGAAGGTTCTCCCATCTCCACAGAGGAACTCTAGAGCTCTGTCAGAGTTACCATCAGGTTCTTGGTCACCTCCCTGACCAAGGCCCTTCTCCCCCGATTTCTCAGTTTGGCCGGGCAGCCAGCTCTAGGAAGAGTCTTGGTGGTTCCAAACTTCTTCCATTTGAAGAATGATGTAGGCCACTGTGTTCTTGGGGACCTTCAATGCTGCAGACATTTTTTGGTACCCTTCCCCAGATCTGTGCCTCGACACAATCCTGTCTCGGAGCTCTACGGACAATTCCTTCGACCTCATGGCTTGGTATTTGCTCTGACATGCACTGACAACTGTGGGACCTTATATAGACAGGTGTGTGCCTTTCCAAATCATGTCCAATCAATTGAATTTACCACAGGTGGACTCCAATCAAGTTGTAGAAACATCTCAAGGATGATCAATGGAAACAGGATGCACCTGAGTTCAATTTGGAGTCTCATAGCAAAGGGTATGAATACTTATGTAAATAAGGTATTTCTGTTTTTTACTTGTAATAAATTGGCAAAACATTCGAAAAACCTATTTTCGCTTTGTCGTTATGGGGTATTGTGTGTAGATTGCTGAGGTCAAGGGGTCTGAATACTTTCCGAAAGCACTGTTAATGGCTGTTGAATTGAAGGTTTGTTGTTGTCAGTATACCTTTTTATGCTTGCAAAGAGAACAAATGTTATCTTAACAAAATGAAGATATGGCTAATGAAGGGGAAAGACCACACCTTATCAACAGTATTACAGTTTACTTCCTTTCTAATATCAGCATATTATACTTTACTTATTGTGAATGCGTTTGATATTCTGTTAGTGATGTTCACTTTAGATTGTTTCAAAGTTCTGCAAACTAGTCGTCTTACTCACAGATTAAGTCTTAAACTAATTAACTGATAGATGATCTAAAAGCAGGTAGATAATCTGGTTCTTGCATGGCAGCCTTAATATTAACTGTACGTGGGGAAACGGGACTCAGTCTTTTTTACATTTTGTCAGGGTTATTTTGAGAATAATGTTTATGGATGCAAGGAAGATACCCAACAGATAAAATTACCTCCTCAAATAATTGCTTACATGCAATTCTACATCACATGTTCACTATGCTGCTGCCTACATAACAGAAATGGGAATTATGATAATGGAAATTACTAAGGCTGATATTGACATGGCTTATCGTTAATTACAAAATTATTGCAATTGCAACTGGGACAAAATTGGGATGTGATTGCTATTATATTATTTCATGTTTTATCTATGTTGATGTGCATCTGCTGTGTGGTGGGTGTTAAGCCACTTGTTGCTCTACCTTTCCCTCGCAGTAAATATGGCTCATAGCGTAATGTCATTTTTAATGTTTGATTCATCAATTAATGAGTCTTGAATATTTGTCCTCTCTCCCTAATCTCTCTGCAGTCCCGAACGCCTGCGCTTGTCTTTGAATGCATCAATAACACAGATTTTAAGGTAGAATCATCTCTCTCTAGGCATGGGGTTTCAATGATATGGTATGGTGTAATGAGTGGGAATCTTGGTCATGTTACCCAATAAGGCTTATTTAATAGCCTATGCCGTTTCAGATACCATGTTGGTGGCCATAACATAGCATTGCATTGTTCAGAGAATTTTCTACCCAATATGTCTCTGTCTGTCTGTCTGTCTGTCTTTGGTTGGTTGAAAGTGCTTAGGTCAATTGTGTTTGTTTCATCACGGGTGCATGCATCACATACTTGCTTTCTGCAAATTGAATCTAAAACTTTATTTTCTTCTCTGCCCAGGAGCTCTACCAGAAGTTAACAGATTTTGATATACGTTTTTACATGTATGAACTACTAAAGGTGAGCCTTAGTTTGACCCTGTGTGTTTTCACATGCACTCCTAGTTCTACCTTCATACCTTCCTAACTGTGGGGTTAGTTTGTGGTGTCTAGCCAATATTTCTCTGTCTCTGACATGATTTGGGTCTTTGTGCTCTCAGGCTCTGGACTACTGCCACAGTATGGGGATAATGCACCGTGATGTCAAGCCCCACAATGTGATGATTGACCACCAGATGAGGAAGGTAGGGGGAGCTCTTCACCTTTCTTATGAGTTGTGTTGGTCCTTAGAAAGCTCTAGTAGTCGGATGTTGTGAATGATGTGTCTTGTCCAAAAGTTATTCTCCTCTTCTCAAGCTGTTTGAAAAGTCTACAAAGCTTACATAAATGTGTCAGAGATTTGTCTAAAGTGACTTCAATTATTTCTCCACCATTATAATGGGTGTTGAACTCTTTTAGTCTTTGTCAAATACAATATTCTTATTGTATCAGATGGCATCAGGACACATACAGGACTGCAAAAATTACGAGGCTTGTTCAGTAGCAGTAGCAATTTCCCTCGTGTGCCAATTTGTGTGACACATTTCCGATGTGGTTTCTATTGTAACATGGTGTGTTTGTATTTGTGCTGCAGCTACGTCTAATAGACTGGGGCCTTGCAGAGTTCTACCATCCTGCACAGGAATACAACGTCAGAGTAGCATCTCGCTACTTTAAGGGACCTGAGTTACTGGTAGATTACCAGGTAAATCCCCAGCACATTCAAGCAAACACGCATACACACAGACACAATTGGTGAGTCTGTACATTAGCTCAAGTTGTGTACCAATTTCATTGTTATTGGTAGCTGTTTGTGTATTGATATTTGGCAGTAACTGATGTGATTTCCTGTCAGATGTATGACTACAGTTTGGACATGTGGAGTCTTGGCTGCATGCTGGCCAGTATGATCTTTCAGAAAGAGCCCTTCTTCCATGGCCAGGACAATTATGACCAGGTATCCCACAAACTAACCACTCAACAGACGTTCCCTTTCTATTGTCACCACCAAACTTTAGTCTCACTACAACCCAACTTATTCCACCCAATGTTATTACTAACTTGTGGAATCTCAACCTCTCTCATAGTATGATAACACTGACTCAGTGTTTCCCCTATATTTATTTAGCAACGGCGGGCCGCTACTGTTAAATCGTTGCCGCCACTCCAATTTGTTATTTTATTTTGTATTTTTAGAAAATACTTTCCGGGATGGTAAACCGTTTTCAGTATAAACTTAAAACCAGATATAAAAACTAGACATGCATGGGGGCCCCATTGATTTTGTTATGTGTGTCACTCAGATAGCACAAGAACACTGCATAAAATGTGTAAAATTGCAGGAAATTAGCTTTTAAACTGCATTTTCTCTCTCTCAACCCTATGACAAAATGTTTAGAATTGCAGAAAACTAACTTTGACACCTCTGCTGAAAAGAATCCTAGAGGAAAAACTGACTGCAACAATCTATTAGAGTAGATAACACATTCACTACCTGATGATAACATTACATTTTACATTTTAGTCATTTAGCAAACGCTTTTATCCAGAGCGACTTACAGTTAGTGAGTGCATACATGTACTAACCAAATTAGCTTGTACATAAAAACATATTCCCTAAGACAAACAAACACTTGTGTGAAATTGTCACTGTTCTAATTTCAGCTGGTCCGAATTGCCAAAGTCCTGGGGACAGATGAACTTTTTGGTTATCTGCGCAAATACCACATTGAACTGGACCCACGCTTCAAGGACCTTCTTGGCCAGTGAGTACCAAAAGGGAGTGCCGTTGAGACATGGAAATAAGGGTTACTCCTGGTATTTACCTGGTAATGAGGAAGCATATTTGAATTATTTGTAGGTTATCAGTTATTTTGACATGCCCCACTACAAGCTTGATTCTATTAGTGATATGTTATTTAATAGCTGCCAGACAGTGGCCCACTAGTTCCAGAATATTAAACGTAATTTCCCAGGCGATGATAATGTTGTACAGTGCCTTCAGAAAGGATTCATACCCCTTGACTTATTCTACATTTTGTTGTGCTACAGCCTGAATTCAAAATTAATACAAATATTTTTTTTGAAATGTTTGCAAATGTAATGAAAATGAAATACAGAAATGTCTCTCTTACATACAGTTGAAGTCGGAAGTTTACATACACTTAGGTTGGAGTTATTAAAACCCGTTTTTCAACCACTCCACAAATTTCTTGTTAACAAACTTTAGTTTTGGCAAGTCGGTTAGGACATCTACTTTGTGCATGACACAAGTAATTTTTCCAACAATTGTTTACAGACAGATTATTTCACTTATAATTCACTGTATCACAATTCCAGTGGGTCAGAAGTTTACATACACTAAGTTGACTGTGCCTTTAAACAGCTTGGAAAATTCCAGAAATGTGAGTCAATTGGAGGTGTACCTGTGGATGTATTTCAAGGCCTACCTTCAAACTCAGTGCCTCTCTGCTTGACATCATGGGAAAATCAAAAGAAATCAGCCAAGACCTCAGAAAAAACATTGTAGACCTCCACAAGTCTGGTTCATCCTTGGGAGCAATTTCCAAACGCCTGAAGGTACCACATTCATCTGTACAAACAATAGTATGCAAGTATAAACACCATGGGACCATGCAGCGGTCATACCGCTCAGGAAGGAGACGCGTTCTGTCTCCTAGAGATGAACGTACTTTGGTGCGAAAAGTGCTAATCAATCCCAGAACAACAGCAAAGTACCTTGTGAAGATGCTGGAGGAAACAGGTACAAAAGTATTTACAGTGGGGAAAAAAAGTATTTAGTCAGCCACCAATTGTGCAAGTTCTCCCACTTAAAAAGATGAGAGAGGCCTGTAATTTTCATCATAGGTACACGTCAACTATGACAGACAAATTGAGAAAAAAAAATCCAGAAAATCACATTGTAGGATTTTTAATGAATTTATTTGCAAATTATGGTGGAAAATAAGTATTTGGTCACCTACAAACAAGCAAGATTTCTGGCTCTCACAGACCTGTAACTTCTTCTTTAAGAGGCTCCTCTGTCCTCCACTCGTTACCTGTATTAATGGCACCTGTTTGAACTTGTTATCAGTATAAAAGACACCTGTCCACAACCTCAAACAGTCACACTCCAAACTCCACTATGGCCAAGACCAAAGAGCTGTCAAAGGACACCAGAAACAAAATTGTAGACCTGCACCAGGCTGGGAAGACTGAATCTGCAATAGGTAAGCAGCTTGGTTTGAATAAATCAACTGTGGGAGCAATTATTCGGAAATGGAAGACATACAAGACCACTGATAATCTTCCTCGATCTGGGGCTCCACGCAAGATCTCACCCCGTGGGGTCAAAATGATCACAAGAATGGTGAGCAAAAATCCCAGAACCACACGGGGGGACCTAGTGAATGACCTGCAGAGAGCTGGGACCAAAGTAACAAAGCCTACCATCAGTAACACACTACGCCGCCAGGGACTCAAATCCTGCAGTGCCAGACGTGTCCCCCTGCTTAAGCCAGTACATATCCAGGCCCGTCTGAAGTTTGCTAGAGTGCATTTGGATGATCCAGAAGAGGATTGGGAGAATGTCATATGGTCAGATGAAACCAAAATATAACCTTTTGGTAAAAACTCAACTCGTCGTGTTTGGAGGACAAAGAATGCTGAGTTGCATCCAAAGAACACCATACCTACTGTGAAGCATGGGGGTGGAAACATCATGCTTTGGGGCTGTTTTTCTGCAAAGGGACCAGGACGACTGATCCGTGTAAAGGAAAGAATGAATGGGGCCATGTATCGTGAGATTTTGAGTGAAAACCTCCTTCCATCAGCAAGGGCATTGAAGATGAAACGTGGCTGGGTCTTTCAGCATGACAATGATCCCAAACACACCGCCCGGGCAACGAAGGAGTGGCTTCGTAAGAAGCATTTCAAGGTCCTGGAGTGGCCTAGCCAGCCTCCAGATCTCAACCCCATAGAAAATCTTTGGAGGGAGTTGAAAGTCCGTGTTGCCCAGCGACAGCCCCAAAACATCACTGCTCTAGAGGAGATCTGCATGGAGGAATGGGCCAAAATACCAGCAACATTGTGTGAAAACATTGTGAAGACTTACAGAAAACGTTTGACCTGTGTCATTGCCAACAAAGGGTATATAACAAAGTACTGAGAAACTTTTGTTATTGACCAAATAAATTCATAAAAAATCCTACAATGTGATTTTCTGGATTTTTTTTCCTCATTTTGTCTGTCATAGTTGACGTGTACCTATGATGAAAATTATAGGCCTCTCTCATCTTTTTAAGTGGGAGAATTTGCACAATTGGTGGCTGACTAAATACTTTTTTCCCCCACTGTATATCCACAGTAAAACTAGTCATATATCGACATAACCTGAAAGGCCGCTCAGCAAGGAAGAAACCACTGCTCCAAAACCGCCATAAAAAAGCCAGACTGCAGTTTGCAACTGCACATGGGGACAATCGTACTTTTTGGAGAAATGTCCTCTGGTCTGATGAAACAAAAATAGAACTGTTTGGCCATAATGACCATCGTTATGTTTGGAGGAAAAAGGGGGACGCTTGCAAGCCGAAGAACACCATCCTAACCGTGAAGCACGGGGGTGGCAGCATCATGCTGTGGGGGTGCTTTGCTGCAGGAGGGACTGGTGCACTTCACAAAATAGATGGCATCATGAGGAATGAAAATGATGTGGATATATTGAAGCAACATCTCAAGACATCAGTCAGGAAGTTAAAGCTTGGTCGCAAATGGGTCTTCCAAATGGACAATGACCCCAAGCATACTTCCAAAGTTGTGGCAAAATGGCTTAAGGACAACAAAGTCAAGGTATTGGATTGGCCATCATAAGGCCCTGACCTCAATCCTATAGAAAATGTTTGGACAGAACTGAAAAAGCGTGTGCGAGCAAGGAGGCCTATAAACCTGACTCAGTTACACCAGCTCTGTCAGGAGGAATGGGCCAAAATTCACCCAACTTATTTTGGGAAGCTTGTGGAAGGCTACCCGAAACATTTGACCCAAGTTAAACAATTTAAAGGTAATGCTACCAAAAACTAATCTAGTTTATGTAAACTTCTGACCCACTGGGAATGTGATGAAAAAAATAAAAGCTTAAATAAATCCTTCTCTCTACTATTATCCTGACATTTCACATTCTTAAAATAAAGTGGTGATCCTAACTGGCCTAAGACAGGGAATTCTTACTAGGATTAAATATCAGGAATTGTGAAAAACTGAGTTTAAATGTATTTGGCTAAGGTGTATGTAAACTTCAGACTTAAACTGTAAGTATTCACATCCCTAAGTCAATACTTTGTAGAAGCACCTTTGGTGGCGATTACAGCTGTGAGTCTTTCTGGGTAAGTCTCTAAGAGCTTTGCACACCTGGATTGTACAATATTTGCTCATTCTTTTAAAAATTCTTCAAGCTCTGTCAAATTGGTTGTTGATCATTGCTAGACAGCCATTTTCAAGTCTTGTGATTGATTTTCAAGCCAATTTAAGGCAAAACTGTAACTAGATCACTCAGGAACATTCAATGTCGTCTTGGTAAGTAATTCCAGTGTAGATTTGGCCTTGTGTGTTAGGTTATTGTCCTGCTGAAAGGTGAATTTGTCTCCCAGTGTGTGTTGGAAAGCAGACTGAACCAGGTTTTCCCTCTAGGATTTTGCCTGTGCTTAAAAGCTGTATTCCGTTTTTTTTATCCTAAAAAAACTCCCTAGTCCTTGCTGATGACAAGCATACCCATAACATGATGCAGCCACCACCATGGTTGACAATATGAAGAGTGGTACTCTGTGTTGTGTTGGATTTGCCCCAAACATTACACTTTGTATTCAGGACAAAAAGTTAATTTCTTTGCCACATTTTTTGCAGTAGTAATTAAGTGCCTTTTTGCAAACAGGATGCGTGTTTTGGAATATTTGTATTATGTACAGGCTTCCTTCTTTTCACTCTGTTATTTAGGTTATTATTATGGAGTAACTACAACGTTGTTGATCCATCCTCAGTTTTCTTATATCACAACCATTAAACTCTGTAACTGTTTTAAAGTCACCATTGGCCTCGTGGTGAAATCCCTGAGCAGTTTTCTTCCTCTCCGGCAACTGAGTTAGGAAGGATGCCTGTGTCTTTGTAGTGACTGGGTGTATTGATACACCATACAAAGCCTAATTAATAACTTCACCATGCTCAAAGGGATATTCAACGTTTTTTGTTTTTTTTACACTTCTACAAATCGGTGCCCTTCTTTGCGAGGTATTGAAAAACCTTCCTGGTCTTTTGTGCTTGAATCTGTGCTTGAAATTCACTACTCGATTGAAGGACCTTACAGATAATTGTATGTGTGGGGTATAGAGATGGAGTAGTCATTCAAAAATCATGTTAACCACTATTATTGAACACGGAATGAGTCCATGCAACTTATTATGCTATTTGTTAAGCACTTTTCTACTCCTGGACTTATTTAGGCTTGCCATAACAAAGCGTTTGAATACTTATTGACTCAATACATTTCAGCTTTTCATTTTGTATTAATTTCTAAAATGTTGTACTAACAAAATTCCACTTTGACATTATGGGGTATTGTATGTAGATCAGTAACACAACATTTCAATTCAATCAGTTTTCAATTCAGGCTGTAACACAACAAAATGTGGAAAATGTAAAGTGGTGTGACTACTTTCTAAAGGCTGGAGGTATTAAAGTTGGCTCTCTGTCTCCCCCACTCAGACAGACGCGGAAACGCTGGGAGCAATTTATCCAGACCGAGAACCAGCACCTGGTGAGCCCTGAGGCTCTTGACTTGCTGGATAAGCTGCTGCGCTATGACCATCAGCAGAGACTGACGGCCACAGAGGCCATGGAGCACCCCTACTTCTGTGAGTAGCTCAACCTGAACAACACCTGCTGACTTCCTCTGCTGCATAGTGGAGTGCCAGTTATTGTGCATTGATGAAAGGTGATGTGATCTTTAACATGTTGACTCCTCTACACAGATCCTGTGCTGAAGGAACAGTCTCTCTCTAATGCGGATGGCAATATGGTGTCCAGTGGATCCACTACAGCTCGATGAAAGTAGGTGAGTGAGAGAATCACAAACACTATTGTTCTAAATTGTTCCATTGTTTTAAATTATTCTAAGGCCATACACATTTGATTTACTGTATAACAGATGCCCCATTTCTCAAAAAATAAATAATAATTATTACAGCATTCATATGAATCTATTATTATTCTTTTTGATTCCTTTTGACAAGTTGTATGAGTCACTTCGCCATTGTAGTGGTTGGGATTCGGTTAAATCACAGTGAATCATGACAATCAAAAACAAATACGTTATACTGTAAATCAAATTTATAGTATGGAGGACTAAAAGTGCCACAATTAAATAAATAAATACACCATTAAATAATTACTTAAATGTGTCATTAATTAATTAAAATTAGAATTAAATACATAAATGTGTTATTAAATGTGTCATTAATTAATTCAAATACCGATTCATTTTATGTAAAATACATATATAATAATTTCACTATTTACATTTACATTTCATGGTCCTGCGTTGGAGTGCTTCCTGAATTACTTAAAACTGTCAAACTGACCCATCAAAAGTTGGTAGGCGGAACCTAACGCCTGATTGGTTACCCTCTGCATCAAGCCAAGACAAATCAATTCCGGATAATGTCAGCAGGTCCTGCTTCTACATCCTCTGCTAAGTTTAAAATGTCTCTAACCAACTCCCTGGAAAGTTCACGGAGATCCTCCATTGTCTCTATCCAGGTTGGCCTACTCTACTTCAGACCAAAGCAATGGATCAGACTAGATTCGCGTTAGCCCCGCCCACTGACTTTGATGGGTCAGTTTGACAGTTTTAAGTAATTCATGAATCACTGCAATGCAGGATCATGAAATGTAAATGTAAATAGTGAAATAATTATATATGTATTTTACATAAAATGAATCGGTATTTGAATTAATTAATGATACATTTAATTACACATTTATGTATTTAATTCTAATTTTAATTAATTAATGACACATTTAAGTAATTATTTAATGGTGTATTTATTTATTTAATTGTGGCACTTTTAGTCCTCCATATTATAGGGCCTAATGCTCTGTGTTAAAGTTGCTATTTAAAACCTTTGAAATAAAATCCCTTTAATATTATATAAAATGTATGTGCATTAACAGTATAATTTCTCTTCTATTTTTGTCTTTCAGAAGAACATTTGTTACCTCAACTTTTTACCCCTTTGTGGCAGAAACCTCTTCAAGTGTACAGTGAAAATGGATCAAAGCAACACCAGACCAGTAACACTCAAAGATGTGCGTACTGGCGCACACACATACATGAACACACACACACACACACACACACACACACACACACACACACACACACACACACCCTCCTTCTCTTTGTCAGTCTATGGTTGGCTTGCCCCAGTTACATGTCAAACAGCCAGACCAATGAGCTTGATGCCTGATGTCTCACGGCTGCCCCTTCCCTGCTCTGCCCCCTCCTCTTATCATAAGGTAAACAGAAAATGTTCAAAGACAAGAAAAAAAGGATCCTTTCCTGTCATTATCCCCCCCTTTGGCCCCCCTCCCTCGTTTAACTAAGCATGGAGAATGAAAAGGAACGCGAGCCTGCCCTCCCTCCCCCTTGGACAGTCTGTCTGTCCATCTATCTGTTCAGTATTCAGCAGGCCTGAGCTCAGCCTCCACACACTGTAGTACCGAAGTGGCATGGTGGACCTTTTCTCTGCTCTAGGTAGAATGATGATTATAATAATATTAATAAAAATAAATGATTTTTATTTATATTGGTGTTTGTGTCATGATTTGGTCAAATTTTGCCATATCATATTGTTATTCATACAGTCTTACAGTATATTTGAACGATGTAATTCATCAGAGAGAACTATAAATGCTACCAGTATCTGGTGGTTAAAGAACAGTGTGTCATCAATGCCATTAATTGTTGACGAACGTGACAAAGGTGACAATAGCTCGGGAAGTTGCCACCACAACCATTAATGGGCTTGGCTTCAAGACATGCACAACCTAGATATGGCGATAATGTTTTGACAGCATCCATTGTGAACCATCAGTGCTCATTAACTGAACCAGTGGAATCTGTTTGGCTTTGTGCAATTACCTGTTGAATGATGGCCCTCATGAAACCAGATCAGATCATACCCTGCGATGCTGTGCAACTTTTATGCAACGTGATACCTGAAAATCATTTAGACAAATCAGTGTCTGGTTCACACCTTACTAGCACTCTCATGACAGTATTGTGACTACTAGTAGGAGCACTCTGAGGGTGTCACATCACAGCTTGAAGACCTATTATTTTTTGTGTCTTTTGATCCTATTCACTTGGTTACATTCGAATAGACTTCAATCTATGATTGTTGTGTTGTTTGGTATATTTATCCATCTCATTGTGTGTTTTTACCCACACACACAGGCATTCATGCTGTGACCCTTACTGAAAGTTTTGTTTCGCCTGACTCCTGCGCCTTAGTGCGTTCTGGTTCACGTGAGTAGCTGAGCATAGCCCGTTTCACAGGAGCCCTTGTGAATGGAATTTCTGGGAGGTCAGGTGACATAGTGTCGTACAGTCACAGGAAGAGGCGAATATCTGTCCACGCGGGAATACAGCTATAAGCAGACTGCCCACCTTTGGGACAACGACTCCCATTGTTAGTGTGGAGACAAGACCATCTCATTATTATATACATTATCTCTGGTACAGTGTTGCTCTCTGATCACCTCAGGAACTGATGCAGTTTCTCCACAACACTTCTCCTCTGACAAAATGTCCACCTATCGGCCCTCAGCAATCGGCACACATTGGTTTATCACATATTTGCACGAGGCAGGTGTATCACAAGCACCAAAACAACAAGCACACAATTTTAACCTATGAGTTAACTGTTCTTTACTGATTTATAAACTCATTTTTAACAGTCTATAAACTTCTATTAACTATTTTACAAACCCATGTTATACCCTTTATAAATAGTAACTTAATGTAAAGTGGTACCCATCTAACAAAGCACTGTTTCTAAAATAAAACTCTACAGGTATATAGAATTCACCTAATTTACCTGATTAAACCTAACTGGTGGAAGTTATCAGAATCCGAGTCCCTTATTCTTTCTCACGTCTGTAATGATGAGGCAAGCTTGATGCATGTAGTCTAATGGTATTGTTGTGTAATCTTGGTAAGTGTTATAGACACCATGCAGTACACTTTGAGATGAAATTGTACCAGTACATACTAATTGGCTCCTTAATTGTTTGACCTTGATATCAGAATACAGGAGTAAGAACATTTGGTGAGACGGAAAAGGTGTGTCCAGTACAGTACGATCTGATATCCCGTTCAGGGTACATAAATCAACCTGTAGCCTTTTTCAGTCAGTTGTCTCTCACACCCCCACCTTGCATAACTAGGCTTGTTTATATAATTAACTACATTGGCATGTACTGTATAGGGGATCCGTTGGCCATTAGTATGTCTCCACCCAAGGAAACGGAGGCCAATTGTAAATAAGTACTGTAAATGGTGCTGAAGCCAAGGTGCATGATTTTCTTGTTTTTTAAATTTACGGATAGCCAGGGGCACACTCCAAAACTCAGACATAATTTACAAACGAAGCATTTCGTTTAGTGAATCCACCAGATCAGGTAGTAGGGATGACCAGGGATGTTCTCTTGATAAGTGCGTGAATTTGACCATTTTCCTGTCCTGCTAAGCATTCAAAATGTAATGAGTACTTTTGGGTGTCAGGGAACTAAATGGAGTAAAAATTACAGTATTTGCTTTAGGAATGTAGTGAAGTAAAAGTTGTCAAAAATATAAATAGTAAAGTAAAGTACAGATGCCAAAAAAAACTACTTAAGTAGTACTTTAAAGTATTTTTACTTAAGTACTTTACACCACTGTGTATAACTACACCATAGGAGTTTGCTTTTGACACTATAAGTTTAGCCATGCAATCGGGCCTTATTTTAGATTTTGCGTGTGCAGCTGCATCACGTCTTGTTTTTGTTTGTGAATGTGTAACTCGGCCTCAGGGCCCTGTTCACTATTCTGTGCAAGGCAGTGGTGGCTGGACTATGGAGTTGAGCTTTGGTGTGAAATCCTAATGTTCCATAATTCTGAATGTGTTAGCTAAGATAATTGTATCTATGAGAATTCACCCTGAGTGAAGGAGAAGGTGTTTGCTCCATGCACCTGCACACACAGTAGCAGCTTAGCGTAGATGCATGTGAGTAAGCCCAGGGTAGCAAGGCTGAAATATCAACTTCCTCCCCAAGAGGAAACCTGAGAGCGAGCTTCCTGTCCTACAACCTGACTCCTCTGCTCCTCACATTCAGAAAACATCTCTCCCCATCAAAGTTTTAGCAGGGGCCTTGTCAGATCAGCAGGCGCCCGTGTCCGGTCAGCTGTGGTCAGGTCTGCATGGCTTTAGTCAAGCGGGAGAACAGGAGTCAGTGTTTACAGGGGTGTGAATGGGATTTTCCATGTCATTTAACAACCATATGAATCATTTGGAATTGATGGGAGGGCTTATTTTAGGTCTCTTGTGTCCAGTGTTGTTTTAAGTGTCCAGTGTCTTTTATTATTTTAAGTGTCTAGTGTCTAGAGTTATTTTAAGTGTCTAGAGTTATTTTAAGTGTCTAGTTATTTTAAGTGTCTAGTGTCTAGAGTTATTTTAAGTGTCTAGTGTCTAGAGTTATTTTAAATGTCTAGTTATTTTAAATGTCTAGAGTTATTTTAAGTGTCTAGAGTTATTTTAAGTGTCTAGTGTCTAGAGTTATTTTAAGTGTGTCTACTTACCTATTCTTCTCCTTTCTTTGTGTCTGTCTGCCTTTCATTTGTCTGCCTCTATATGAAAGATAATCATTCATAGGTGTCTTTTGGATTCATTTACTCAATTAAACAATGGAACCTCAACTGCACAACAATTCATCATGTTTTTCCCCATCATTATGTTTGTTCCTGAACTTCCCTCCAGCTCTATCCTGGAACCCTTAAGGAAAACGGAA